CCACATTGGCACTTGTTGGCCATATAGCAAAGTACAGTAACATCCAAAATCCACATAATAGTGACATTCAGCCACGGATTGTATCGGCACTGCAGAAAATCCAGTTTGATACCACTTTAATTGCCATGGCTGAATGCTGTGAGATGCTGGGATTTGTAGGTTGGTGAGATATTTAGCCAGAGAGCTCTGGTGCCATAATGAACTACAATTCCCAGGATCCTCTAGCACTAAGCCAGGGCATTTAAAGCAGTCTCAGACTGGATTAATTTTGCAGGATGTTTTGGACCTCTGACTTCAGCCGTGGTCCCGCCCCCTGGAAGTCCTGCCCCTGGCACCTGGTGATGCCCAATGACACCTGGTGTGGGAACGCCACTGAGTTTGGGCACTCGGTCTTGAAAAGGTTCGCCAACACTGGTCTAGAGGCAACCACCAAGAAGGCCCTCTCTTGCATCCCCACCAATTGTGCTTGTAAGACTAGAGAAGGGCCTTTTCTGAATATCTCAAGTCCTGTGTAGGCTCAGGGCCCAAGCACTACTCGCTCCATTCATTAAAAGAATATGTGAAAAGGACTGTGGGACTATGTGGGTTAGGGCTATGTCCACTGGTAGCTATACCTTTCCCCATCCACACATTCAGAGCCTGTTGGACAGAGTGGCACATACAGACTAATGTATTTACACAGAGCCCTTAGTGCAAGAATGGAATCCCAAGTAAATCAGGTCACACTCTTATATGGAAGCATCTTCTGTGTTGATAAGCATATTCTGACATGTTTTGAACATGCAGAGGGTGCATGAGGAGGGGGGCATGGCTACTGCTGTTGCTGTTGAACCTATGATTCTGGCCTCTCTATTGCCTCCCTCCTCAAACAAACACATCCTAAACAACAGAAAGGAGTGGAGGTTTCCTTGTGCAACAAATGTGATAATTGCTTACCAGACAAAAGATATAAGAGACCCTGCAGCACATCTCTGATGACAGACTGATGCGTACATATTGCTCAGTGTATGTATTTGTGCTTCCCTCCTGCACCACAGTGTGTGTCCAGGTTCCCAAGGCTGCCAGAACCAGCTGCATCTCCATCTGAGTGCCAAAATTGTGACAGTTCATATTCGGGCTGCTCTTATCCCCAGAGGGAGATGATTTAAATATGAAATTCAATTGATTCTGGACTGTTATATATAGCCCAACAATGCTTTTCATGTTCAAGAAGATATCTTCAGAATTGCAGGGAGGTTGGATGGGTTGAATTCAAGAGAAGACCTAGCAGTATCTGCTGGACTTAATCCCCTCTTCCACTGTCATTCCCATTCCCTTGAGTGTTTTATCTTATTTAGATTGTAAACCTGAGGGTAGGGAACTGTCAGATTAACAAGTTGTAAACCACTCTCTTTAGTTCTTTGGTCAGTCTTTGTATAATTAGAGACTTTGTGGCTGAAGCATGCAGTATAAATGCTCTAAACAAACAATAAATAATCCATCAATACATTGTGCACAAGTAGAAAAATATTTTATTCTCTCCAAAATAATCATAAAAGTGGGTCTTCCAAAACCAAGACCAAAACCATTCAAGACTGATGAAAATGGGGAATGGGGAGCAGGCAAGAATGTGATGAATTGTCCAGCCAGAATGCTTGGAAACCTCAACAGGAGCACTTTTTGTGAAACCTCAACAGGAGCACATTGTGTAGTCACTGGCATGTTTTAAG